CAATAACAAACTTCCTATATAATACTTCCAAGAAGTTGATGTTAATTAGGTGTTAATAAACTCAGAGAGCATCCTTCTTAACCTGGTGGGTCAATAAAAGAAAACAAGCTTGAGAGTTTCCGTCTAGATTTTGTGATCTGAGAGGAAAATATCCATGGCTATGATGAACACTTCAGCTCTAAATGTATTCTCAAGGGAAAAATATATATAGTCTGCTGTGGCTGGCTTATTATGGATGAACTTTCTCCTTTGGATTCATCAGCATATTTTTTTTCAATTCATTAGTGAAGACTTAGTCCCTCAGAAATGACCTTAGCTTCCTGAGAAGGCTTGGCCAGGAATAATTCAACTGCTGAATTTCTTCCAAGAGGTTCTTCATGCGATATACTCTTTTTCTGGAGAGTTCTGGATATCAGTAGAATGCACTATCTTCTACCATAATATTTTATAAAGGATGAACTCAGAGAATTGCAATTACTTGAGACTGGAAACTTCAACCTAAGTTTCTGCTCTCTAGCAAAGAAGCAAAATTCTTCTCAATTTTGAAAAAAAAAGAATGTAGGTTTCCATTATAATTTTTCACAAGGGAGTAAATAACATCAATTCTAGGGCTCCATCTAATTATGGAAACAGAGTTTTGCAGTTTCTTCAAGAATTCCCCACTTTGCAGGACCGCATTGAGATACATTATATAGTTTTTGTACATTTCCAAAATATGTTTTGACTTCAGGACTCCTTTAGATGACATGAGTACCACACAGATTGAAACAGATGTTATGCAGCATGAAAACAAGGATTTTCAGCTTGTATCTTAATTTTCATATCCTGGTATATCCCAAACCTATTTGAAGCATTATCATATCCTTGGCCCTTCCAGGCCACTCTATCTAGTGTTTGTTTTTGTTCTGTTCTGTAATGTCTTGTTTTTATTTCAGGAAGTACTTCATTTTCTGGAAGTGTTCCTGATCAACACATTTCCCATTGTTCTCATAGAATATTATTTCAAGACAAATGTCAAGTGTTCAGTATGAGAGCAATCAGGTGCCTTATCTACAATGACTTTACAGTACTGAACATTTCTTATATTTTCAAGAACTGTATGTAGCACTTCCTTAGCACACCTCCAAAACCTCATTCCAGCAATATCAGGACATGTAATGTGCTTATATTCAATGCCTCTTCTTAGCAATAATAGATTCAAGGTGATCATTAATCAGTGATCAGTTTTATAGCCTGCAAGTCATAATGCCATAGGATAGACTCTGATTTCTATAAGGACAAGAAACAGGGTAATGCCACTTGAAATGCTTTTCATCACCTTTCCTTCTCCATTTACTCTTTCAAGAGCATTTCCAAGATCTTTACATTGTAAGTAAGGCTGAAAATGGCTAGGACTGGCTTCATGACTTTTTATTTTGTCATAAAGTTTCTTCCAATTATTATTCACATCCCCATGGCAGATTCTGAGATTACATAGATACTGATTTTGGTCATATCTCAAAAGAAACAGCATGGAAAGCAGAGCCAAATAAATGTCTTGTGGCCATAAGCCAGTCCCTTTTTCGCACTCTGACTTGTAGGCAGAATCTTGCAGAAAATAGATATAGAGAATGAACATTTGGAGGAATCAGGAGGAAACTTTGCAGGGCTGGGTGGAAGCCCCTGAGAACAATTGGATTCCTCTGCAGTATACTGATGTGACCTCAGACACCTGGTTCATTTGAGATCATTATTTGGTGACTGTTTTCCTCACCTGACCTTCATCTTGACCCACCAAACCTGACTCGTGTTCACAAATGTCTGTGGCATGCAATCTTCCTGTGTGAAGTTGTCACAAAGCCTCATAACACCTGCACTATCATTAGCTGCTTCACTTGTCCCCATTCTCTTTGTGCTCCTCATCACCTTCCAGTCATATTGATCCAGAGACTGTTAGCCCTTTATCTAGAGCACTTTGTCCTGTGTGTGTGTCCCAGATTGTTAGATGTGCTTCTTTCTTTTCTACAAGGAGAAGGGAACCTAGTCAAGTTATGAAGGACTGTTGCTGCCTATTTTCTCTTGCCCGTAGGAGCAGGGAAGTAGGTTTCAGGAAGTTCCTTTCTCAGCTGATATCATTCAATCAAGCTTTTGACGTCATATCCCACAAGGTCACCACAGAAGGATCAGGGTATCGTATGGAGGAGCGACACCTCTGACTGCAGCTCTGCAATTCAGCTATTGCTGGTTCTTTCCATGAGTTCCTTCAGGACTTGCCTTGTTCAGAAGCTCTTCACCCTGTGCCCATCTCCAGGCTCTTCCCATATCTCAGCTCATTCTGGCAACTTTCCCAGTTACCATGCCTCTCCTGATTTACACAACCCCAGTGTTCCCTAGGATACAACAGAGTCATAAGCTGAGGGAGGGTCCAGGGCAAAGAAGCAAGCTTTCCTTGTGAGACTACTCAGGGTGGCCTTATATAGAAGGGCTTTTCCTATTTGCATAGAATCTCTTATCTCTTTTTAATCTCTATCACAGCATTTTTCAACCTTGGCAGAAGGTCCACACTTCTTAAAGTTGCCAAGGTTGAAAAACATTGCTGTATCATATACTAGAAAAATCTTTACAGCAAAACAGTAAGAATTGAAGAAATTATATGAATCCAAACCATCTAGTTGGAACTAATAGAGAAACCTTGTTAAATAAAGAGTTAGCATTTTACGTTGCATTTTAGAGCTAAAGCTTTAGCTCCAATGGAGCAGAAAGGAATGATTTACATTGAATAAACAGATAAAAAATAAATAGTCCGTAACAAATCTCTAAAAAGAAGATTATAAATAAAAGATGTATAAATATAGGGACTGCACCTAAACATGCCTTTTAATTTTCTAGGTCAAGGAATTAGTTTGTTAGCCATTGTGGTTCTCCTGGGTGACAGTCTTTACAATTTTGCTGATGGTTTGGTAATAGGTGCAGCATTTTCATCAACATAAATGGGTGTTACAACAATTGCTATATCATGAAATTCCTCATTAGATAGGTAAGCAAAGTGACATATTTCCATATTTCTTATAATTTATATAATTTCATATACAGTGGTACCTCGGATACGAACTTAATCCGTTCCGTGACTCTGGGCATATCGCGAGTTGGTCGTAACCCAAAGGAAATTTCCCCATAGGGTTCAATGTAAATCCGGTTAATCTGTTCCGCCCTCCGAATTT